TACATTTAATTACTTACTTTCCTTCTTTCATCCAAATTATTCTTCAATTAGCATTTGGTTTTTTAATTTTAATCTAACACACAATAACACAATCTCTCTTTATTATTTTTCTTGGATAAGAGTCTCTTTTCAATTGAGTTTTTAAAATTTTTATGTAGATTGTAGCTTTTAGGTAATACTTTAACAAAAATGTATTTTACAGTCTGAACTATAAAATAGAACATTCATGCTTTAATATTTTTAAAAAATAAAAAAATATTGTATTATTATATTATTTGAAAAAATATATATTATATGAGAATTTGTAACTATTGCTTTATAGTAATTATTATTTTAATTTTAGTACTATTACTAAAAAGACTTTTGATTTTATACTTTTAAATTGTTAAGTTAGAATTTTTAGACTTTAGATTTTATTGTATTATTAATTTTATGAATGCATCAAAAGCACAACTGTACAAGATTAAAGGAGCACAAACTAAAAAGATCATAAAATACCATATTAGTTATTGCTTTTTACTAGAGCTGCGTGGTATTTACATGATAGGTTTTCTTGTACTTTTATTTTATTTTTTATAATGATTTTTCTTTAAAAATTTTTCAATTTGGATGATTTTGAATATTGACTATTGAGTTTTAGATATTGGATTCAATTAATTTAGTTAAAAGGATAAATGTATCTCTTTTTCCTTTATTTTATAATTCTTTTTCCAATCATATTCTTGCATTTTTTTTTTTTCTGTATTGATATATATTTGTGATTTGTATCCCTTTTACCTACAAATTCTGACTACGCCATTGCCATAATGGAAACAATATCCAGTTTCCCGTTTCTGTTTGCCAATTTGGTTTCCTTCTTCCATACAGGAGTAAGCGAGATGTATTAGTCTGTGGATGTGGTTTGCCATGGGATTGATTGTAGGTATTTTGTTTTGGTTTGTTGGATGAGTGGATTATACAATAAAAAATAATTATCATATTTTTCAAAATTTTCATTACTTGTCTCAAAGTTTGAAATTGAGACATTTAGTTAGAAGTTTTAGGCTTTTATTTGATGAAACACCTTTGGGAGAAATGTTTAATGGTTGGTGATGAAACAAGATTTTGATAGTTTAGTTGCTTTGGTGCGGACATTAGACAAAAATTACAATGAGATCTC